GAACGTTGTCTATTAGATGTAGAATGGTCGAAGCAAAACAACAGGACACTAGACATCTGGTCGAGCTTCTTCCACCCATCTCAGCTCATTCAATCTTTCCTCACCGAACCGAACCTCATTTCATCTCATACATCTTTTTTCGTTAAGCCACCTCATCACAACTTACCCACCTCACCCCCCATCTTACTAATAGTACCCACCCTACCAGTGTTACTACACCAAAACCATCTAATCTAACCCTACCTCAGCCACAACACCCATCTCTCTCCATTCCTTCGTCTTACTTCCCCTCAGCCCACCACTCATAAGCTTACCCAATCCCACCTATCTCCCGTCACTTTTTTTCAATTTGATCAGGACTTCATTTCGCCGTCACAATTTGTTTACGTAACAGCATTCTACTTCTACTGCCCTTTAAATGCGAGAGTCGTCAGAACAAAACAACAGAGAAGAAATAACACAAAACATCTCACCCTTCCATGTATTGCTTTTTCATAGTATCATTTGTGTATGCAACTGGACGTTTATGTTTTTCTTCTCACATCAATTTTGTGAGATAATAATTTTATTTACTTGATTTACGGTTCGGTGGCCTGTGAACTCAGTCATGTCAATGTGCGATATGGTGTCGACATTCAATCGTCGTTCTTCTAGTTTTGCCTCTCTACGCTTGTTGATTGGTCTAGAAAGCTTGCAGCATCGTCTCAACCAATCTAGTTCAAAAAGAGATTAAATCCAAGCAAGGCTTAAACATTTGTGTTTCCACGGGCTTAACCCAGTTTCACTTCTCATTGGCAGTGCAGATTCAACGAAAAAACTCCAATGAGAGTAGCTTTCAATTGAAAGACATAAGTGTAAGTAAACCAGGATCGCATTATTGTTGCTGTTTTTAGTCTGAGTTTTCAATGTGTCCTTGTGAAGTTTTTCTTTGTTCAAATGGCCGTTGTGATTCCAGACGAGCCTGTATTAAAGAGTACCGTATAAAGCAGTCACTCTGTACTGATTGGTTGGTTGTCAAAGTCCCGTAAAATGTTTCCTTTAATTACTGAATTTTTCACCTCTATTAAGGTGATTCCTCAGTATTGCATCGCACATCCTGCCCTGCGCATAAAAATCACTTAATTAGCCGAATCAGAGCGCGCACATTCCGAGATCGTAGTATCATTTAGAGCTTCGTTTGTAAATTGCCCCTATGAAAAACAAAATTCAGCCCGCTGAGATTTTTACAAATTTCAGTTAGCAACTAGAATGTTATAATAACCAAGTAGGTGGTTAGTTTGGAGAAATTCAAGTAAATGTTTTCCCTGTTTTACCCTAAAGGAAAAATGACCCAGAAAATAATCGATCAGTGTGTGTACATTCTCTCGCACGGAAAATTACATGCATCAGAGTAAAGAAGAATTATGTTACCATATATGTTCGAAATACCAATCTGTATGGATTGAGCTGGAGCCGTTTTAGTTTCTGTAACAAAAGGTTATGTTTCACACAGTCAAACCCCTTACTAAAGTCCATTGCGAATAGGTGTACTGCCTTACGCTCTGGGATATACTTGTTAACCTTATGCTGGACTGACTTGCATTTAGCAGTTCTTCCATTATATCCCTAGCATGAACCCTTAACACGAACTTCTCAAAATCCTCGCAATCACGAAAGCAACGTTTACGCCCCGATAATCTGTTTTCTCCTTTGCTATATACATTTTTGGTAGGGGGTGGTATTTGACTTTTTCCTAGATTGAGGCGACGCGTGAGTCTTAAGAGAAAGATTCCAAATCATGGTAATAACCGGAGCGAGAAGTTGGGCGTGGTCCATTTACACGGTATAAGAAATACCGCCAGGACCAGTAGCTGTCTTTCTTATTTGCCGAAGGGAGCTCCACATCTGCCGCTCGGGGATTTTTGGTATCACATGATCTTCACCATGTTCAATAGGATTGGGTTCCATGTAGGAGTTATCCGTACACAACTCTCCTAATAATCATTTAGCTTCTCGTGAGAGGCCCTGATCGAGCGATAGAATCATCATTGAACGGCTTAGCTGTGATATGCTTTCAACCCTACTCCACCACTCACGTGAGCCCTTAAAAGGAAGTTCTTCCTTTTTTCAACGATAACCTACTCTCTCCTCGTTCCATTTTATATCCGTGATTTAGGGGCCGACCATTCAACTTTTGAGGGGGGTGGGTGGGTTATTTCTGGTCATCAAGAAATTCTTTTCTAGCAATGAGCTGTGCAGGATATTTTTTTTGGATATTTTGGTACATTTTTTCTGTTACATTTGGGCTGCATGCAATTTTTTTCTTCCAACAAGCGCTTGCAGGAAATCTTTTTTCAAAATCACCCACCTCCCCTCAAAAGTTAATTGGTCAGCCCCTTAGCTCATAACATACGCTTCACTAGTGGGATTATCCAGCCCAAGTCGCCTGACGACACTGATACCGTTCTGACAAGCATACACCTATCTGAATGTCCGCAAATAATTCTCTCCAGTGGGCCAGCTGCTTGGTCAACATCCGTGGCACGATGGACATCTCCCCGTCTTCCTGTGCCAATTTCAAGTACAAATTGCGCTTTCTGTGCTCTCATTGATCTCGGATCTGAAGGTGTCGGCTTTTTGCCAGCTGGTAAAATCACGTCATAGTAATCGCTTTTTGTCCGCATGTGGTAAGGACAGCATTTCTCGAAAAAATTCGTGTGAGAGAGACAATTATCTTCGCATAATCTCTTGTCGGGAAATTCACCCTGGGGCGCTAGGCCGCAAACTAGCAGCCTTTCTTACCAATAAGAAGCATCAAGAGTATTGTGACCTTTAAAAGGGGCATTTTTTTGCATCCCTTTGAGTGCCTAACTGCATGCAAAATTTAAAGGGATTCGAAAATTTTCATTCCCCAGGTTGATTCTTACAGAAGGGCTAACGCTCGAAGCATTAGCTTAACGGTGGCCAATTTGAAAAGTCAACTTAGTTGATATGACCAAATTACAGTAATACCCATTAACACAAGCTTGTTGCTCACGGTAAAAACGATCTGATCTCAACACAATATCCCGGGTTTATCATGACGCAGGGTGTTTTCTACTTCCTCTAGAAAGCTATCCTGCGATAGAGCTCCAATTCATAACTTTTTTAGCGTTTTTTTCTTCTTCTTTTTCTTCTTCTGTTTCGCCTTCCACATCAAAAGGGGGCGTTATCGAAAAGCTGACTCAAGTTTCTATTTGGTGAGATTACCAACAATCCTATTGGAATCTCCTTGTTCAGCATTCAAACGTGTCCAATTTGCATTGGTTATTATCATCTATCTTGGAACTTAGTTTTTAAACAGCCTCAGCACGAGCGAGCGGTTCTCACGCCCGCGGGAAAGTACAGGGCCCTGAGCAATAGGCATGAATAGATTGTGCTAGTAAATCCTGCAAAAGTAGCTTGACAATACACCCAACAGATGCTCTAAAATTGCTCAAAAATATAAAAGTTGCCACTCAAATTTAAAAAAGTTGCTTAATTTTGAGAGTCATTTTGTTCTAGATTACTACTCAAAGCATGACGTTTTATGTGTAATTTAACATCCTTTGTTATGATCAATATAATATTTATGCTCAACATAACTAATAATAGAAAGTATTTTCTAATGACGTTTTGGATAGTCTTTCACACGATTCCAAGCGCATGTTGCCGTTCTTTCCCGGAGGACGAGTGCGAGCTACCGCATCCTCGTTGTTTGTATTTGCCTTCGTTGACGTGAATTTTGCGTTTTCTAGAAATTGAAACTCTAGGGGGACTACTGAGAGTTGTCCCAGCGGCCATGGTAACCTCAATAGGGTCAACATCTGTATTATTTCCATTTTCCTCGTCAAACATTTCAGCTTCTAATTGTAATGTCTCGCACCACAGCAAATACCAAGATGGCGGGGACAGAGCTGAATAACGTACACACATGCGCTAGATTTTGCCGCGGAAGCACGGATTTTCAGTCGTTCGCATGAATGATTTCCTATTCGGTTGCTTCGAGGTGTCGTTTTCCTTGCCGCTTTTCTTTTACAGAACAACCTCCAAAAACTCAACCTCGTTCCCATGGCTTTTCCCTTTTTGAAGTTTGGCGGGCGGGAAACCGCCAAACTTCACAAAGGGAAATTCAAAAAGGGAAAAGCCCTGGGAACGAGGTTGCGAAAAACTTGGTACACCCGTTACACTCCCTAAAAGTTTTAAAAAATTAATTTTCCCCTTAAAACCTCTGGAAATGGGAAAATGCCTTCGACGAAAACAGAGTTCCTCGGTTTTAAAAGTCAGCCTTTCCGCTAACTTCGTTAAATTTTAGACCTAGGACACTTGAGCCCGCGTTGTTGACCGTAACCCACTGGCGTAATATTTCATTATTCAGCTCTGTCGATAGCTCTATTGTTGGAGGAAATAACCGCTGAATGTAAGCGCCGTTGGCGTAGCTGCTGTCCAGTTCGTGGGCGCACGTGATTTTTCAAAAATTATCTGTAAGAATGTACGACATCCTTAGTTTTGACCAGTTTTAATAATAAAAAAAAAACATTTTAATAAAGACCTTTTTGATGATTTGGTCAGTTTTTAACCATTTCTGGACTCAAACGTTGTCAAGGAAGACAAACGTTGCTGTAGGTTGCTCGAAGTACAAAAAGCTGTTGAAAACACTAAAACTTGCTCAAAAGTTGATGTTGCCGAGCACAATCTATTTATGCCTACTGAGCAATGCGAGTCCGCGAGAGGTCTGCAGAGGTCAGGAACTGACAATAAGTGCGTGCCATCTCGTGTCCTGTAACGCTAATACAGCAGGATGTCCGGGTAGTCTTCACACAGAACCCTACACTTTACCTCTTGTTGAAGGGGCCTGATAAGGTAAATAAGTTATCGAATAGAAATCTGGAATTTGTTTCGCGCGGGAATCTGCGGGATGCTGCGGGATTGCGCGGTGGATCAGCATATTTATGTCAGCGGAAAGGTGCTGAAGACTTCATATGCGGTTAAACAGGGTATAATCACCTAACATGGCCGAGGCATCAGAAGGTGACACGTTAGAGAAAAAATCGGGTTGTACTCGAGTTTCTGCCAAGAACAACACAAGAAGGAGATTTGTCGGAACTAAGTCAAATGCTGGACAGACGACTGACAAACTTACAGGTACACTGTTATTGATATTGGCTTGAAATTCTCAGTAGAGAGAACATGAATGACCGGATGTTCTTGAACCATTCTCGGACTAAAACTAATTCTTAACGCAGTTTCGTCCTTTCTTTTCCTTCTTTGGTCGCACTTCTTTCCTTTAGGTGCGCACAATAGAACGTTTTACTGTCTTGTCGTACCTTATGGATGGATCCTAAACTTAATCGATGATGACGGAGTTTTTTTCTGCTGTTGTTGTTGTTTTTTTTTTACGGGTAATTTTATTTTGGTTAGCCGTGTTTGTAAAACTTGCACTGATATTCATTAGTTAATGCGCCATCACCCCCAAACCTGGACCCGGTATAAATACCGAAGTCTCAGGTCCCTGGGGGAAAACAAGATCTTCGCACAACCCCATACGTCATTGTTGAGACAGTTCTTGGATAAAGGAAACATTGACGGAAACAGTATAGATTGCTTTTGGGACCACAGCTTCGTTTTGCAATGGTATGGGGCTGTGTGGAAATCTTTCAGAAATCTTGCTGAAAATATTCAGATCAAACTTTCCATTCCTTGAGCAAATATTGTCGAGGGATTAAAAAAAAAACTTACGAAATAATCACACCATTTCAACAAGTTACAATGTACTTGTAAGATACCTTTCACACACATTGACTCCAGTATTCATTTAGGTTACTGTTAATCTCCACTATTTCTTGTTATTTAAGAAATAGGGGCCAATAAGAGAAGAGTTGTTCGTCAGATTCCAGATGAGATTCTGAACAATCCTGAGCTGCAGAATGCTGTGAGACAGGTAAATAATGAGACCCTGGACTCACTTAACCATACAACCCCCATCAGTGACCAAGACAGAATTTCTCCTCACCATATCAATAAAATATCAAGAAGACAAGTGATGAGAATAAAGAAAAATATCAGGTTGGAGTTTCTTAGTTGATCCAATAGCAAATTCTCAGAACTAACATCAAAAGAATTTCCATAAGGTCGTAGTAGTAGCAAGTAGGATAAATATTGTAAGAAATATACAACTTTTCTTAGAGACATTTTTCGGCATGCTTATGCCATCTTCAATCAATGAGTAACAGAACGCGAGTAATTATATAACAGACGAGTAGATGAATAAAATATTTACAGCATGATGTAATACAAAAGCGGGTACTAATTACAACGTGACATCAAAGGTGTGAACTAAAGCGCTAGAAAAGTGTTATAATGCTGTAATTGTTTGTTAAGTTCAGGTTTGATCTTATTTATATAAAAAGCTTCTTTGAGTTTTAAATCAATTGAGTTGTTGGCAGAATCCAGAATACTAAAGCAAGAAAGGGAGTATATGTTCTTACAAGAAGGAGATGTGTTAAAATGCTTAAAAATATGCGAGTTTTTATCGCTTTCGGTGTGCTCCTTTATCCTAGTAGAGAAGTGGCAACTAGTTTCGCCAATATAACGGGAATTACATCCTGCACAAGAAAATTGATAAACTACCATGGATTTTAGAGCATCAGGAGTACGATCTTTAACACAGTTTATAGTAACATGTATTATTGTCATCAATGTTCTGGCTATTTTGAGAGGAGGACCCATCAAGATACCGCTTGAAAGTTCTTTCAATAATATGTGAAGGAAAAGAACTACGTTTTAAAGTGTTGGAAAGTTTCTTCAGATCGTTTTAAAGACCAAAAGAGGTGTTGTTGATTTTGTAGATATGGTCAATAAGAGTTTGGATAAGGCCAATTTTGTAGCATGATGGAATAAAACTGAAGAAATTTGTTTCGAGACCAGTGTAGGTTTTTTTATGAAAACCTGAAAAAACACAATCATTCGAAGAGTTGTTGATAAATATATCAAGAAAGGAGAGTTTACCATCATGCTCTTTTTTAAAAGTGAATTTTATGTTAGGATGCCGTGAATTAATGTAATCAAAAAAGGACATTGCATCCTGTTCATTGTGGAAGACACAAAAGGTGTCGTCAACGTAACGCCTATAAAGTAGAAGGCGAATCGAATGGTTAAAATTATTTAGCCATGTTTCCTCGTGGAAACGTAGAAAAAGATTAGCTAGGATGGGTGCTAACGGAGAACCCATCGCTACCCCATCGACTTGATCATAAAATTTTCCATTAAAAAGAAAATGAGTCTCAGCTGTGGCGAATGAAAACAGTTTCATAAGGTCGGAATTTTTGATCGAAAATTTAGGGTCGTGCTTGAAAATAAGATCAACAGCAATATCGATAGTTTTATTTTAATGGAATATTGGTAAAAAGACTTTCAACATCAAAGGAAATGAGAAACTTGTTGTTAAGATCGAAACTCCTGAGCTCTTCAACAAAGAGAATGAATCTGTGACCGAGTACTTGTTAGGTAAAAGTGGGGTGAGAAGAGAACTTAAATACTTGGCTAAATTATAGTTATAAGCTCCAATAGAAGATACAATAGGTCTAAGAGGTGGTTGATTGTGATTTTCATGTTTCTTATGTAATTTGAGAAGGCCATAAAATTTTGCTGGTTGTGAACCCTTGGGAAAAATCTTGGTATAGGTATCATTATCAATAGAATGCTTTTTCTTAAGTAAACTAATGAAACGTTTGAGTCTGCCTTCTCTTAATAAAGTGAGATCTTTGTCTAGTAGTTTGAATTTAGATTTATCATTAAGCATATCAAAACAAGAGTCTAAATAAATAATACGGTCTAAAATAGCTACTCCATTACTTTTATTGGGCTTGAGAATTATAATATTGGAATTGTTCTTATAGAGTTCGTATATATTTTCTTTAGATCGTTGCTTGAAGGACGGTAGGAAGAGGTTTAGTTTTGAGCAAGATGAGCGATTTCAGTTTTTAGGTGCGTAGCAGAGTTTTCGTCCATAAGTTTGTTCTTCATGGTATAGTGGATCGAAGGAAGCCAGGATGTCCGTCTTGTTGAGATGAGGAGGTTTGATAGAGAAACCTAGCCCATTCTTAAGAAGTTCAAGTTCATCATCACTTAGATTAAGCGAAGAAAGATTGTTTACAGTTTCATTCGGTGAGAAGGGTAATACGGTATTCTTAGTTAGGTTTTTAAGTTTCTTTCGAAGACATCAAGGGTGACACGGCTGACGTGAGCAAATATAAAGACTAGTTTCCTCTCGCTTTTTTTTTCTATTCACATAAGATTTCAGCTAGTGTTAAATGAAAGGGAATTCTTCAGCTACAATGTATTAATGTTATGTTACAAAACAAAGGGTAAACACCACAATGTACACTATTGAGTTATGGATGCACTTGGAAGGTTTACTAAGCACTTAAGAAGCTAGAGTCACTCTTGGCTATTGCCTTGCACAGCTCTTATACTTCTTTCTTGCTTAGCAACCTCCTATGTGCATCTGTAACTCAAAAGTGTATGCTGTGGTGTTAACCATTTGTTAAAGAGTGTGTTCTTGATTAAGTGCAATTTTTCTGGAACTGGCATTATCAAAAACAGGTCACAAGAGTTTGACCAACATAGTTACAACTCACTTGCTATATCAGATTTTGCACTTATAGAGATCAAGGTAAATAATACTCTCTGATTAAGATGATTATTCCTTTTACAACAGTTACCACCCAACTACAATTTTGAAATTTTCAAGACAGTATGGAGAATTAAAGAAATAAATGCTAAAAGAGGTAAATGAACAACATTACATGTTATTTTTGTTTGTCGCTGTGTTCCTATGCAACACATTTACTAGGCCTCATAACGCCTCTCTCCATCCAGGAGTGCAAAGGTAAAAACTTAATTTAAGGTAAAGTCAGCAGTCAAGCTACCCATAAAGTAAAATCCAGATAAGCTCCAGTCCCTATGCCATTTGATCTGGTATGGAGACCTTGGCCCTTTCATGTACAACAGGATCAGTTTTAAAGCACAAGTGTGCCATGAAAAAGGAAAAAAATTATATCATTAATCAGGATAGGCATAAATCACTGTCAGTTTCATGTTCTGGTTTGTTTTCAATTTTCAGTGGCATTACAGTTCCCTGAAGGACTACTATTGTTTGCTTGCACTATAGCAGACATTTTAGAAAGGTATCCTTAACCAATTCCTACCAAACTTGCGTACTTTTCATTTGTTTACGTAACTTGTTTGGTAAATTTCATGGAAGAATCACAAAAAGTAGAACTGTAATAAAAATGGAACTCTTGTGTTAGATTCACAGGTTGTGATACAGTTATCATGGGGGATGTCACATATGGTGCTTGTTGTGTTGATGACTTCACTGCAAGGGCCCTTGGTTGTGATCTCATGGTTCACTATGGACACAGCTGTTTGAGTAAGTTATTAATAATGATAAATAATAATAATAATATCAATTTCTATAGCGCATTTCCATGCAATGTTCTAATGCGCTTTACAACACTGTGCGGGGGACTTTTTCCAGACTGCCAGCGGCAGTTTACAAATAATTAAAAGAAGAAATTTTACAGATGCCTTCTCCCCCCAATTCCTAATAAACAGGCCAGACCACCTCATAGTGATCTTGTGAAGTGGGTTCTTTAATGTCCCCTGCCTAACCAAATTAACTGACAGATGGAGGAGACGGGACCTCTGGCTTTACGTCCTATCCGAGAAGACGAAGCAATGTGAGTGAAGAGTCTTGCTTAAGGACACAACGTCAAGCCCCAGCCAGGACTTGAACCCGGGCTGTCTGACCCAGAGTCCAGCGCACTGACCACTTGACTACTCACGCACTGACCACTTGACTACTCACGCACTGACCACTGGACTACTCACCCCCGTTATTATGGTTGTAAAGTGTCTTATAAATTTCTCGATGAACATCACTCAATCTCCTTTATCTCCAGTTTTTAGTTCATAATGCTGCAACTGAATCCTTCTGCAACTGAATCTTATCTCTTCTGGTCTACCTTCTCAGCATCACCACATGAAGTCTCCTTTCTCTCTTCTGTTACTTCACAATTCTGTTATGTTGCATTGTATTTTCAATGCCCTTGCTGAATGTTGTCTGTTGATATAGCTATTTCAATGTTTAGGGTGATATTCTTTTCAGAGGGATCCTTAGTAAAACTATGTAACTGAGCTGCATATGCGGCACAACTGTACAATGAAGCATGATATTTTTTATGCAAGGAAAGTTGTTTCAAATAGGCTTTTCTCATCTATCATACATGGTTATGAAAATGTTATATGGGATTTCATTATTTATTTTGGTGCCTGATATCTCTCATGAAATTATAAATTTGAAAGTAAAATCAATCTACTGGGCAATACAAAGTTAAAATTGTCAATTGTTTATGTACATTGTCTTGTAGTTCCTATTGACTCCACCAAAGGAATCAAGATGTTATATGTATTTGTGGACATTAAGCTGGATGCCACACATTTTGTGGACACTGTCAGACACAATTTTGAAACTGGAAAGTCGCTTGCAATTGTGAGCACAATTCAATTTGTGACAACACTTCAAGTATGTGCTAAACAACTGGATAATTTGGTTTCCTCCACCGAGTTGACAAAGTAAATTGGCCAGTACGTAAAGAGTAAAAAGCTGATGTTTCAAACATCAGCCCTTTGTCAAAGCAAAGTTTGAAATGTCTGCTTTTAAAGTCTTTACAGTGGCCAATTTACATTACCAATGCATATGATGCACGATCCTTCACAGTAGATAGCGCTATTTATGCAATAGCGAAAATCAGACCTGAAAAAAATCAGGCCTGTACGGGATTCGAACCACTGACCTCTGCGATACTAGTGCAGCGCTCTACCAATTGAGCTAACAAGCCAACTGGGAGCAGGCCGTTAAGTTGATTCGTAATAAACCCGTGATGATAAATCAGATACAATGAATATATGAAGTTCATATATTTTGAACTGCGGTATTAAATACGTATGATGCACGATCCTTCGCAGTAGATAGCGCTATTTATGCAATAGCGAAAATCAGACCTGAAAAAAATCAGGCCTGTACGGGATTCGAACCACTGACCTCTGCGATACTAGTGCAGCGCTCTACCAATTGAGCTAACAAGCCAACTGGGAGCAGGCCGTTAAGTTGATTCGTAATAAACCCGTGATGATAAATCAGATACAATGAATATATGAAGTTCATATATTTTGAACTGCGGTATTA